GCTCAGCTCGGGCTGGACTCGAACCGCTGTTGCTCAGAGCTCAAACTCTTGAGCGAGCTCTTAACCAACTGAGCCACTCGGCCGGCCCAAGATTGCATTTTTGACTTTATGGAAATTACAGCAGGTCCTTGAATAATGTAGCTTTGTTCAACATGGTTTTGTTACAACGTTGATGAGATGTAGGAAACTAACTCTTGTTTATGCCATTTAATCTATGGTGAAATTGATTTCATTATGTGTCATTTTGCTACAGTTCCCACAACCTATCCAGGAACGTTAAGTGAGGAGTTACCCGTCTCCCACTGGGAGGAGGTTGACAGTAAACCTGTACTGTAACCTGTACTCTAACCCATAGGTAAATTTCAGATACTGATAGGCTCTGTGGAGAAAATAAGATGGAAGGGGGTGGAGAGTGACCGCGGTTGCTTCTGGGAAGGCCTTGCTCAGTTGATGACTTTGGAGTTGAAATTTGAATGGTGAGGAGAAGGTGGATATCTGACAATAACGGGGAGAACAATTTAAGCAGAAAGAAGAGCACTGCAAAAGTTGTAAGATGGGAAGGATATGCCATGTTTGAGGGACAGAAGGCAGACCCATGTAGCTGGTGGGTAATGAACGAAGGGCAGAAGGTAGGGTGAGTCAGAGAGGGCCTGAGTCGGAGGGATCTTGGAAGGCATTTGCATTTTACTCCAAGTGAAATGGAAACACTGGGGTGGGGGTGGGGGGCGTTCCAGAAGAGGAGTGATGTGATTTGGCTTATACTTTAGAAAGATTGCTCTGGGTATTGGGTGGAGGATAGACTGTTGGGCAAGGATGGAGGAAGAGAGAACAGTTAAGAGGCTGGTGGTGACTCTGACTAAAGGAATTGTGGTAGAGATGGTCAGAGATGATTGAATTCAGGTTTGTTTTGGAGGTAGCGTTGTTTAGGACTTATTGAAGAACTCACTGGGGGATGTGAGGGAAAGGAGGATGAAGGACTCTTGGGATTTTGGTGTGAGCAGCTGGGTAGATGGTAGCACCTTCTCCGGGGAAGATTTGTGGAGGGAGCAGGACTTTGGGGGAGGTAGGGGGTGGGAATCCCATAGTTCTGCTTTGTCAAGTCAGTAGTTGATGATGTTGGTCTGAAGTTCAGAAGAAAGCTCCGAGCTAAAGACACCTTGAGAATCATCAACGATACTTGCCATTTGAAGCCACCAACTGGAGTGTGTGGGTGGGAAGGTCTAGGAGGGAGGCGCCGATGGAGTGAGAGAAAATCCAGCGTCTTGTGATCTCAGGGAAGCGGGGAGAAGAGAAGACTGCTCCAAGGAGAGGCAGTCACGTTAAATGCTGTTTGTCAATGTTACGTGTTAATTGCTGCTGCGAAGTCAAGTCAGAGGAGAACCAAGAATTAGTCTTTGGCTTGAGGAGGATGTAGGGCGTTATTGGTGCGCTTGACCGAGTCGAGCTGGTTTAATGTCACCACAGAGGGAAGGTGGCGTAAGGAGAGAACGCGGGGTCAGGGAGGAAAGAGCCTCCCCGTGAAGGGGACAGAGATAAGACATCTTATGATCCTAAGATGTGTGTGTTTGCTAATCGCAGTGATCCAGTATTGAGGGAGAGATGGATCATGCAGGAGCAAACGGGGATAATTGTTGAAGGAAATACCTACAAAAGGAGTGGGGGGTCGGGGCAGGGCAAAGTGAAGGGTTTCGCCTTAGAAAAGGAGCAGGGGGGCATCTTCCTTGGTGCCGGAGGAAGGTGGAGTGTGGGCACAGGTACGGATGGGATGGGCCAGTGAAGTTGGTGCTGGGAAGAGGGGGCGTCCTGGTTACGTCAGCGTCGTCTCGGAAGTGTGTGAGCCCAGGGCTTGTGGGAGACGCGAGGCAAGAGGAGCAGAGCGATGCTCACCTCAGGCTGCGGGGAAGGGAACTGACCGGCACAGCGGCGGGGCTGTGGCGCAGGCTGCCATGCCTGCTTGGTATTTTGGTCGCAAATTAGAAGTGAGTGCAGCGAGCACAATTGCCTGACTTTTCTCTGGTCGTGTGCTGCTACTTGGGGGAGGCTCCGAGGAAGCAGGGACTTGGTTTTACTAGGATTAGGGTTTTGCCAGGTAAGTGCGACAGGAAGAGAAAGACGGAAGCTAGGGGAGATGACGGAGGGTGAAAAAAGCGAGAGATCAGTGATGAGAGGAGGTCGGAGAATCTCAGGAGAGGATACCCTAGCGAGTGACCCGAAGGTTGTGTGGGGTCCTAAGTGGGGGTCGCGGTGTCAGAGCATCCAGTGTGGGTGCTGTTACACTCTGCTAAACAAATGTCTGTGTGCTTAAAAAGCAGTTTACAGAGTTATACGGTAATAGCACTTCATAGAGAAACCTTAGGAAATACAGAAAAGAAGCTGAAGAAATCACCTATATCTTGCCAATTAAAAATGTTAGACAGTGGGCCGGCAGAGTGGCGTGATGGTTGAGAACTGGCTTGGGACGCCAGAGGGCCCCGGTTCGGATCCCACATATGAGGGCCAGTGACACTGCCCTCTACAGCTAAGATGCTGAACAAC